GTGTGTGTGTGTGTGTGTGTGTGTGTCTGTGTGTGTGTGTGTGTGTCTGTGTGTGTCTGTGTGTGTGTCTGTGTGTGTGTGTGTGTGTCTGCGTGTGTGTCTATGTGTGTCTATGTGTGTCTGTGTGTGTCTGTGTGTGTCTGTGTGTGTCTGTGTGTGTCTGTGTGTGTCTGTGTGTGTCTCTGTGTGTCTCTGTGTCTGTGTGTCTGTGTGTCTGTGTGTCTGTGTGGCTCTGTGTCTCTGTGTCTGTGTGTCTGTGTGGCTCTGTGTCTCTGTGTCTCTGTGTCTGTGTCTCTGTGTCTCTGTGTCTCGTGTCTGTGTGTCTGTGTCTGTGTGTGTCTGTGTCTGTGTCTGTGTCCGTGTGTGTGTCCGTGTGTGTGTCTGTGTGTGTCTGTGTGCGTGTCTGTGTGTGTGTGTCTGTGTGTGTCTGTGTGTGTCTGTGTGTCTGTGTGTCTGTGTGTCTGTGTCTGTGGCTGTGTCTGTGTCTGTGTCTGTGTCTGTGTCTGTGTCTGTGTCTGTGTCTGTGTCTGTGTCTGTGTCTGTGTCTGTGTCTGTGTCTGTGTGTCTGTGTGTCTGTGTCTGTGTCTGCGTGTGTCTGCTGTGTCTGCTGTGTCTGTGTGTGTCTGTGTCTGTGTCTGTGTCTGTGTCTGTGTCTGTGTCTGTGTCTGTGTCTGTGTCTGTGTCTGTGTCTGTGTCTGTGTCTGTGTCTGTGTCTGTGTGTGTCTCTGTGTGTGTGTGTGTCTGTGTGTGTGTGTGTGTCTGTGTGTGTCTGTGTGTGTGTCTGTGTGTGTGTGTCTGTGTGTGCGTCTGTCTGTGTGTGTGTGTCTGTGTCTGTGTCTGTGTCTGTGTCTGTGTCTGTGTGTGTGCATCTGTGTGTGTGTGTGTGTGTCTGTGTGTGTGTCTGTGTGTGTGTGTGTGTCTGTGTGTGTGTGTGTCTGTCTGTGTGTGTGTGTGTCTGTCTGTGTGTGTGTGTCTGTCTGTGTGTGTGTGTCTGTGTGTCTGTGTGTCTGTGTGTCTGTGTCTGTGTGTCTGTGTGTCTTTGTGTCTGTGTCTTTGTGTCTGTGTGTCTGTGTGTCTGTGTGTCTGTGTGTCTGTGTCTCTGTGTCTCTGTGTCTCTGTGTCTCTGTCTGCGTGTCTGCGTGTCTGCGTGTCTGCGTGTCTGCGTGTCTGCGTGTCTGCGTGTCTGCGTGTCTGCGTGTCTGCGTGTCTGCGTGTCTGCGTGTCTGCGTGTCTGCGTGTCTGCGTGTCTGCGTGTCTGTCGTGTCTGTGTGTCTGTGTGTCTGTGTGTCTGTGTGTCTGTGTGTCTGTGTGTCTGTGTGTCTGTGTGTCTGTGTGTCTGTGTGTCTGTGTGTCTGTGTGTCTGTGTGTCTGTGTGTCTGTGTGTCTGTGTGTCTGTGTGTCTGTGTGTCTGTGTGTCTGTGTGTCTGTGTGTCTGTGTGTCTGTGTGTCTGTGTGTCTGTGTGTCTGTGTGTCTGTGTGTCTGTGTGTCTGTGTGTCTGTCTGTCTGTCTGTCTGTCTGTCTGTCTGTCTGTCTGGCTGTCTGTCTGTCTGTCTGTCTGTCTGGCTGTCTGTCTGTCTGTCTGTCTGTCTGTCTGTCTGTCTGTCTGTCTGTCTGTCTGTCTGTCTGTCTCTCTCTCTCTCTGTCTGTCTGTCTGTCTGTCTGTCTGTCTGTCTGTCTGTCTGTCTGTCTGTCTGTCTGTCTGTCTGTCTGTCTGTCTGTCTGTCTGTGCCTCTGTTTGTGTCTCTGTTTGTGCGTGGGTCGTGCGTGCGTGCGTGCGTGCGTGCGTGCGTGCGTGGTGCGTGTGGTGTGGTGTGGTGTGATGTGTCGTGTTGTGTCGTGTTGTGTCGTGTTTTGTTGTGTTTTGTGTGTGTGTGAGACTATGTCAAGTAGAGCCCACAAAAGCGTGGGCCGGGGCCAGGTTAAGCAGCAAGCTAATCAGTTGGGGGAGTAGCTGCAACAAGCGACGAGTCGGCAGCCAGCCTGGTCTCCGCTTGGTCCACTTTCCTTGGTGGAGCTGGTTGGTGGTTTCTGCAGTTTAAGGGAAGCACGAGTGGGCAAATGATCAGCCAACCAGCCAAGGTACCCATTCTGAAACATCGCCAATGCGAGGTCATGAAACACCTGAGCCGTGTGAGGCAACTTTCCACTTCATGCTGCATCATCTCTTGATTGCCGCTCACGCGCGGCCTGGCTTGGCGACGCTCTCTTTTCCTTCTGTGCTACGTCCTTTTAGCGCTGCACGATTGAAAGGCATTGGCGGCATTGGCGTACTAATCCAGCTCCATCTGCAGCCTTTGAACCTTCAGCTGCGACCCCCATGAGGCCTCGTTCTGTAGAGCCCTTACCTCCGGCTCTACAATCTCCAAATCCTCATCCAAATCATCCAAATCATCCAAACAGATTGGCTCCATCAGCGGGATCTGCGCCAACTCCGGCGCCGGCAGCGGCGCCTCCAAGCCCAGCTCCGCCATGCGGCGCCGGGATTTGTCCTCGTCACGGTGCACCCAGCTGTACACGTGCTGCACAGCCGCTTTGGCCTGCGCCGACAAATCCAGGAAGCTCTCCGAAGGCAAAAGGTCTTCCAGAAGTGTGCCTCGGCATCCGGAAATACTCCTTACTCTGAAGGCTTCTTAGCTTTTGGGCATGGTGGCAACATGCGATGAAGCTAGCTGATTCAGGCATGCTCATTCAGTCTTGCGTAGGTGCCAAACAATGACCGTTCTATTGAATCTATTGGACTTTATCGTTGACGCCGCCTCAACGGGTGGATGAGCAGCAGGTTCATGATCACATCCGAGTTACCGCTGTCTCGATGATTAGAGGCTTCGTCTGGATTCGGCAACGCGTTCTAGCTTTCACGCAATACATCCGTTTTGCGCCAACCTGCATGCACCTGGACTTGGCTAGGCCTACAGGGAACTCGGGACAGTTCCTGCCAAGTACTGACGGCATACAAGTTCCACATCGTTCGGGTTGAAAGAAATAACCTTCGACCGCTGGACAGCCTTGAAATGCCTTGAAGCAACAAACATCTGGACACCTTGCAGCGGCTTTGCTTTTTGGATGGCAAAACCGCCCTAGGAATGAACGACTCAACTAATGACCGGCTTGAGATGCAGTGGTTGGCAGCAGCCTTGGCCGCGCGCAAGTCAGAGCATCCACCATAGGTCTTGTTGTCTGCGCGATAGCAGAATGTCTGGCATTTCAGGATGTGGCCCCCAGAATTCCGAGCCTGGACATTCAAGCACACGTCCTCAAACAGACGAAGCTGGGGAATGTACTCCACCCGCAGCTCCCAAAGGTGCTCCAAGTTCAGAAGGACCACCTTGAAAACCGATGTGTTGTCAAGGGCCCACTGCGAGCACTTCATGGGAGCCGTGCCGTCATCGCGCAGAAAGCCGGCCACGGCATAGCTGGCACTGGCTGCCTGCCGCTGCAGCGTGAGGAAGGCCTTGGCAAACATGGCGCCCTGAGCGCATCGCTCGGTTCTGCGGCCAGAAGGCCGGGACAGAGGGCTGGAGGCCACGATGGCACCGCGCTCTTGCAGCCGCCCTTGCTCCTCCGCCAAAGACTTGGAGGACAGCTTTTCCAGGCTATAGAAACTGGTGATGCTGTCATCCACCAGCCAGCAGAAGGGGAGATGGTGCAATGGCCCCAGGTCTTCCATTTCTTCGGTGCGGAAGGCGGTGCAAAGCTTTTGCACTGCCCAACGGGCGAAGGAGGGGCCCATGTCATTCTCCGGGAGGACGAAAAGCGGCACATCAGGCCATGCGTCGCGGTATGCTGCTGCTTCAGCAGGCTCCACCACTGCGACGACCAGCGCATTCGGACTCTCCGCTGCCTCTGGCATTCCTTCAAAGAGCTCTTTCCCAAAGCAGTGGGGGGCACTCCAATTCAGATGCGCAGACTTCGCCCGTCCTTTGCTGGGAATAAACGTGGGATAAGGGGTTTCAGCCGTCAATCCGCTCTTCGGACCTGGCTTGCTTCGCCGTGAAAACCAGTGGCACCAATCAAACAAGCAATCGGCGTCCCTCTGTGTGCACCACAAATTCACTCGCAGTGTGCTAATGGAGCTGTCTGGGCCCACATAAGTTGCCGCTTGCCCTCCTTGCCGTCGACGATCCCAAGCGACCAGGCTGAACTGCTGCAGCGGCATGCCAGTTCTTTCCGGTGCCTTTTGCAAATCGGCTCGGTACTTGCCCTGCCTGGCCAGCCAAATTGTCTCAAAGCCAAAGTTCTCTCTCTTTCCCCCTCTCTCTCTATCTCTTTTCTTTTTTTTCTCTATCTCTCTCTCTCTCTCTCTCTCTCTCTCTCTCTCTCTCTCTCTTCGCGCCACTGCTTCCGCAATGAAACCCAAGGCGACACAAACACGAAAAACATAATGTTGCTCCGGAAAGCTGCTTGAATTGGCCCATGGTGTCAATGTAGCGGCCCTGCGCGATCTTCTGTTTCATATTCCGAGTCCTCTGAATGCCCAGCAGCTTGGCATTGACCTTCCCATACCGCGGGGACACGTGCAGCATGGTCAAGGAGCGCTTCCCAGCCGGCTCGCGGCGCCGGATGGCCTTCCTGAGAAAAAGCCAAGGGAAACCCCAAGCAAACCCACCCAAACCAATCCCAACCCATCCCACCCCACCCCCCCCCCAAATTTCGGACAGCCCCAGCCACCAAAGAAACCAAATTCCGCGAACAAAAAGCAACACGAGGCCCCTATCCGAGCGTATCCCAGCGCCGAGGGTCGGTCATGATTAGAGTTAGGCCCTGTTTTAGAATGTATCTGTGATTGTTTGCTTCACGTCGAGTCGCTGGCAAAATGTAAAATGTATCCTAAGTCTACCCCAGGCTATAGATGGCCCTGGTAGATGATTAAACCACGAGGTAAACTAGGGAATCGCCATCCATTTCTCGACCAAAAACCACCAAGGACACCTATGAAATCCCAGCGCCGAGGGTCACCAGGCTGTGGATCTGGCGCCTCCGCACCTTGAGTGCAGATCCCCCCGCAAATTTGTTTTAACTGTTTGCTGGTTGAAAGGAAATATGTGGGAAATCCAACAAGCTAAAGTCTAAAGATCCAAGCTAGGTTCGTATTGATGGCATCTGAGTTAGTGGATAAGATTTGCCATTTGGTCCTTTCAAAGATGCCATCAATACGAACCCCCCCCCTAACCTCGGTTGCTTTCTGCTCCCCTGCTAAAAGTTTAACTTTTAGTGGTTTAGTGGAAACCCCATTAGTTGGCAAAAAGTTAAAGTCCTAACAGCCAAGCAAAATGCACCAAAGTAACAGCAGCAGAGGCGCCGCGTGCCGCGCCGTGGACTGCGCCAAGTCCTGCAGCGCCTGGCGCGAGCTGAGGCGCCGCAGCTGGGGCGGCGCCAGGCGCTTCTTCTTGGGCCGGGGGCAGCCGCACTCCTCGCGCCAGCGGCTCAGTAGCTCAGTTCAGTGACCCCGGAGAGGAAAAAAGAAGGGAACACCACACAAAAAGGGAAGACACCAAACCAAAAAGTGAGAAAAACAACCAAGACAAAGCAAAAAAGCGGGGAAGACCCCTTTTTAGTGGGGCAGCCGCTGTCGGAGGTGCAGGCGGGTGGCGCAACAAACGTGTCAGAGGGGAGCTTTGGGAATGGGGTGGGGAGGTTTAGAGGAGGCAAATGGCCAAGGGTCAAAAGCCAAATCGTACCCCCGGTGAACATCCCAATCCAACCACTAAAATAGGTTCTAAAGTGGGCGGTGCACAAAATGGGATGTCATTGGTTTTGACCCACAGCTAAATGGCTACAGACGTGTCACAGCAAAGAGGGGAATGTGGGGAGGGATTTGGGAATGGTTTGGGCTGGCAAGGGAAAGGAACACTGCACCGAGAGCCGGCACATGAACCAGGCAGGTTGTAATTAGGTATTATGTGAATTATGTGTGACTTGGAGTGTTGGGCCAAGTGCCTCAGTGGCGAACAAGTCTTGATCCATCTTGAAGGGCCCTCGATCCATCTTCACCCTGGAAAAATGGATTCTGAGCGGGGACTTGTACGCAGTTTCGATTCTTTTTTGCATGTGCCGTCGCGTGTATAGCTTGCTGGCCACCGCTCCTTCCAAGGAAGGCTATCTGCACAATCGCCACAACAAGAATATACTCAGTTGCCCAAAGGACCTGGAACTAAAAGGTTAACCTTTTGGGGCCATGACTAAATACGGACCAAAATGGGAAAGCCAAAAGGTCAAAAGGTCGATTCGCTTTGAAGAACTGAGTATAGGATAGGTCAATCAGCTTCCGGACATGACTCACCGACTCGGCAGCTGGAACATTGAAACACGTTACGCAATCGGCTCACCAAGACACGTAAGGGGCGCGTGGAAGTGCGACGCGGAACATTCCAAAATGGCCCACTTTCATGGGAAAACACCACCAACACCAGGCACCAGGTAGAGTGATCTTTGTCAAGACGAGTCTTCGGCAGCTTCTTTTGCTGGGAGGCACCATGAGGAAGAGATGCTCGTACCATCTTCAAGCCGAATTGGGGCCTAATTGGCAGCACTGTGGATTACATGAGCTAGAATAGCTAGAAATAGCTAGAAGCTGGGCCGTGCACTCTCTCTCTCTCTCTCTGTCTCTCTCTCTCTCTCTCTCTCTCTCTCTCTGTCTCTCTCTCTCTCTCTCTCTGTCTCTTCTGTGTCAGTCGTTTTGGAAGTTGCCACGTTGTGATGAAGCGTCACCCCGAAGGCGGGAGTGTGCGTGGCTTGTGCTTGTTCCTTAATGATCTCCGTGTGCATGCATGATCTCAACATGAAGGCTCTTTGCAAGAACGGGATACTGAGCCCGCAATAATTCTCGAGATCTCGCAAAACTAAAGCATGGCCCCTCCTCTGAAGTGCTGTGGCTCGGCATTTTTCGACCGCAAGTCTGCTGGGGCTAGCCATGGCCAAAAGCATATTCGACCTGTTTGAAGCCCCAGGGGTCAAACGGTTGCTCTTGAGCCTTTGTGTTCCCACAGGCCCTGTAAACAATCTCTCCCTTTTTCTCGCGAACATGATGGAACGCGAGCCGTCCTGCTCCAGAACCGCCAGCTGCTCATCCAGCTCGAACAGGGAAGCCTCCACCTGTCGGACCTCCCTATAAGCAGCTCGCCAGTAGAGCCGCGAGGCCCTCTCTGGGCCCTCCGGGTCTCTGCGCCATCGCCCAGCCATGGATCATCGCACAGGACGTGGCTCCCAGCCTCCCAGTCTGCCAGCTATGCGATTGGCTCCTGCGCTTAAGATGCTTAAGTCGGCCCTGCCAGAAACGGAAACTCTGTTTTTTCCAGCGCGCGCTTGTTGCATGCATTCTTACTAGCAGCTGGTCAACATGCAGCCTCACAAGCACAGCTGCTGAGCAGGCAGCTGCGACATGGACCGCGCGCAAGACTCGTGAGTATCGGCAAACCGCAAACCGCCGCATTCTCCCCCAATCGTTGCGCAGCCCGCAAGCTCATGCTTTGATTTAGTGAACAGCTTACAGCACCCGTTGTGTAGTTCTGCTTTACGCCTTGCATGAAGTCCGGCCGCAAGTCCGACCTTGTCCTGCCCTGCTGCTACCCAACCCAGATGCCAAACATAACTTTCAGGATATGGCCAGCATACCCCTCATGCCTCTCAAGCTGCAACTAGACCATTCCTGCCAGTCACAAGCATGGATTTTAGGAATCGCTGGCAGCACGAAGAACGACTCGCGTTGCACCTCCTCGTCCCGGACCATCAGGCTGGCGCCAAACTTGTCGATGGCTGCAGCCAGCCACCGCTCCTCAAGGCTAGCGTGGGCTCAGCCGAATCTGACTTGCAGGCGGAATCTGCCAAGCAGGCCGTCACTTAGGTCACCAAGCTGCAGGTGAAGCTTTCAATTCGCAGCAAAGCCACGGACTTGCACTTGATGTTTTAACTGCCTGACATGATGAAGTGCAGAACGCAACAAAACAACACGGGTGCAAGTCTCCGGCGTGGGCAAGGATGGCATTCCAGCAAACAACACCCTTCATAGCAACATTTACCAACTCATGCTGGGTTTGGACTAAAACCCATGCGCATGTCCCCGTGCTTTGGACCATTGGACGTTGCTTTTGAATGCAGCACCCACATACACTGAGGGCGGCTCAGCGGAGTCGAAACGGCCTCGCAGAATCTCGATTTGGCCAATGCGGTAGAAGGGCCTCAGCAGAGCGACCCTCGCCGCACAAGGAGCCCGCGCTGGGCGGCATCGCCCTTCTTGCATCTGGCCTGCCCTCGTTTGCCACCACTGCGATGTGCCTGTTTTGAGTGCAAACAAGACTGCTAAATGCTAGTGCATGACGTTAAGGCTACATGGCGCATGTGATGGCACATGATGCCATATGATGCAACATGCTTGATCAATTGGACCCGATCCTTACAACTAAACGACAGTGTGCACATGTAAATGCGTGTGTACGCTTATGCCATATACTTGCACATTCTGTGCCCAAGTCTCGCCTCGCAACGGCGGGGCTGATTCGTGATTGGCAAACATGTACGCTTCTGTCCACTAACATGGAACCCAGCTGAGGGCCCATGTTAAACTCTCTTCCTGAGTAGGTTGGCCCACAAGTCCAAACTTGGAGGTTATTTGCCACCAAAATGATCGACCCAAGAAGTAAAGTCCATGAAGGAACTGGTCTTCCAGGAGCCCTCAGTCAGGTGTGTGGACCTTGGGCTTCCAGGCAATGAGCTCAGTGGGTCTGCCCAGGCGCATCGCACCAGCGCATCCACCGCAGCGTCCCACTCCTAGGAGATGGATCCCGGAGGTTTTTCCAGGGTCTGAAACGTGTGAGACACCTCCAGCAAAGGGAGTCGTCATTACCTGCCACAACCCATGCAACAAGATTATCATGGCTGGCAGCAATGGAACACCGCAACAAGCCCAACATTGACAGGAAGGCGGCCAAGAGCCAGTGCAAACAGACTCTCCTGCTCCTGGTCCCCACCTCCCACTTGATAGAGATGGACCCTGAAATGCAAATGTGGCTGCTCTCGTCCCTATGTGCCACAGGCTCCTGCAGCTGCATCCAGGTGATGCCCAGGTTGAACTGCACACAGCAGGGCTGTCCCTCTTTAGCTCCTTTTTTTTACATGTCGTGCAAATGCGATGTATGGATCCTCCCAAGCCAGATGTCCCCTCACCTTCTCAAACGGACTTGGCCAAATAAATCATTGGCTTTTGCCAAAGGCATGCGAAAAGTAATGGCCACTGAGACTGAACAAGAAAAGAACTCAGCCGGGCCTGAGTCTTGCTCGAACTGGGCTGGCGCGCTCCATCTCTGATGAAGAGAGTGTCTGACTTAGGCGATGCTCTCGTCGATTGCTGGGAAATCATGAAACTTGGTTGCTGTTGACCCCTCGGCAAGAAGTTTATCTTTTTACACTTTGTGTGGGTTTCAACCAAAAAGTTACTTTCTGCTCCCCTGCTAAAAGTTTAAGGTTTAGTGGTTCAATGGAAAACCCATTAGTTGGCAAAAAGTTAAAGTGCTAACATCCAAGCAAAATGCACCAAAGGCCCGTCTCTAAAGATCAAACCCAATAGCAGTCAAGCCATTCATTTCCCTGAGGCTGCCACAGACTCCCAGTCACTCACTCGCAGCCAGGTGCGCAGGGAGAGGGCCGCCAGGCCCGAGGACGCCTGCACGGCCCGATAGGCAAAGCTTCTAAATTCTAGGGCTACCTTCCATTTCCATTCTTTCCAGCGATCCTTCTTTTCAGGAAACCATCAAGAACCCAGGGAAAATAGCTGGTTTTTGAAAAGAACGATGGTTGAAACGAATGGAAAAGGAATCAACCCCTAGACAAATGGTTTGAACAACCAGTCGGTAGGCCCAAGGCCCGGGGTCCACGCGGTTGTGAAAGCCCTCTTTGCCCAACCCCCTCGACCGCTGTCAGGTGTTTTTCTCTCAAAAGGGGTCCTGTCCACACACCCAAATCCTTGATCTTGAAAACGATGGGGGGGGTGGCCCTGGTCAATGGATCTTCCTGTCCCCGCCAAGCAGAAGGAAGAAGTGGGACTAAACCTTTTGGTCATGCCGCAGCATCGCCAAGGGTCTCTAATGCATGCAGCAGGTGCCCGGCGCCACATCTAAGTGCCTGACAAACAGGATGACCTTGAAGCCGCGCCTCATGGCCTCACCGGCACAGAGTCGTTTGTGGCAAGCGATTGCTGACCGCTTTTTTGGTCGTGCAAAGAGGGCCGCTGGTGAAACAAACGCACCATCCCTGTCTGCCATGGTGTCGGAGAACAAGGGCGAAAGGCTAAAGCGTCGCCATGCGCCCAAGAAAACACCATCCAAGGTGCAAGCCCAAAGGTGCTGAAGTCAAATCAAGGTGTCCGTTTCGCCCTTTGGGAAAGCAGCGCAAAAAGAAACGCCCGTGCCTTTTGCAAGGAGAACGGCCAACGGATCGATTTCGCCTCGTTGCGGCCAGGACCGATGCCCCAGCTGTGGATCTCCTGCGGAAAAATCACGCTCAAATCAATCCTCACCTGTTTGCGCCTTTTAGGGAAGCCAAAGCCGGGATGCCATGCCCAACCCAGACCTCCTTAAATCGACCTCGCCCAGTTGTGGCTCCATCATTTTCAATGGGGCTGCTGTCCAAGCTGGCAGCCTTGTCAGCGCTATTGAGAGCAGAACCCAAATGAAGGCGGTCGTGTTGGGCTGCTTGCTTACTGCGATCGTGCTTCGGCGGTGCCTGCGAAAAAGAACTGGTGCCAAGCTCTGCCAGCTCTTTCTTGCCCATGCCCCTTTTCAACCCTCCTTGCGCCGAATCTTCGTTGGCTCCGAGCCTCAGTTACATCAACTAAGCTTTGGCTGGCAGTGCTGGCAGTCAGCAAAAGGTTGCCCAAGTGAGTCGCAATGAAATCTAGCTATATTAAAAAGGAAAACTGAAGCAAAAGCCTATTTGGGGTACTAAGCGACGTGTTGACTTTCAGCAATTTAATGTTTGTGAGTTCAGTAGAGCAGCCATGGTCTGCGTAAGCGAGTCTCAGACATGCAATGTTTGCCTTACAACAAGCAAGAAGAAGGAATCGAAGGGATGGGGCCGCTGACACGGTGAACCCCATGCCTGAGATGTGGACGCGGTGGGGCACGAACTTTGGCCAGCGTCCCCTGCAGGTAAGCATGGAGGACCTGAGTGCAACAAAAGCTCCCAGAGCTTCCTGGGAGGTTGGCTATGCAACGCCAAGTGGTCACCCGTGAGCGCAATGCAATCAGAGCGCCATGTCGCAAGACCAGGCCGAGTTCAGCAACTCAGCTTAGAAGGCCCCGGCCACCACCAGTGCGAGGCTATAGCCCGCAGATGGGATGTAGAGCAAGCGCTCCCCAACAACCTTAGCTCAGCCTGTCCAATCACCGCCCACAGAAGTGGGGGGCGGAGGGGGACGGGGGGGGGGGGGCGTGTTGTGCAAGCTCCACAAACAAAGAGGCTTTGCGGCGATACTCACGCTGAAAGCACCCTCGAATCCCGACACACTCGAAACAGAGCGCGGCGTCCGGTTAAAATGCTGAGCCTGGAACAGTGCCGACTGGAAACAAGATGTTACCTCACCGCGCTGGGGAGGACTCATTTCTCCAATGTTGGCAAGTTGCCTGCATGGACTGGCAATTGCTGCGTGACCATTGACGGCCAGTTGGCCCCATGCTATTTCACTGGCGAGCCTAACTTGCAACCCTGCAGCATCCCCAAACATTTGGCTCCCGTACCCCCAGTGAACATCCCAATCCCCACGAAAATAGGTTCTAAAATGGGTGGTGAATTCACCTACCCCAAAATGGGATCCCATTGGTTTTGACCCACAGCCATGTCCCATGCTCAGCTGGCTCAGCTGGTGCTTGGACCACCGCTGGCAGGCAGGAAAGACACCACCTGAGGATGTCAAGAAGCATGCCTGTCTGATAGCAAAACGGCATGGCTCCATCAAAGGCCTGGCAAACATACTGTGCATGTCCCAGCTCATTTTCCTGATCCTCTTTCTTGATGCTAGCTGACCCTATACCTGCGTACGGGTCATGCAAAGGGGAAGCTCGACTCGCAGGGCCTCATATGTTTCCTGGTAGCTCCGTTGCAGCTGTGTCAAAGCATTCCCAGCCCAGGATTGAGGGCTGAGCTACCAATGCCAAGGCGATGAGACCGGCACGCCGATGGCGGGATGGCAGCTGCCTTAAAGTCGATCACAATGCTCCACCCGGTCTAGAAAACCGGCTTTGATGTGGCGAATCTGTGGATCCACCCCTGTAAAAGTACTAAAATATTGCTAAAACAGAACCAACAGGAAAAATAACGTATGAAATCCACAAAAAGAGGCCCCATCCAAACCGTTTTCTTCCTAGTGACATCTCTTTCCCCAGGCCTCATTCTCCATCTTAGCCCCTCCCCAAGCCAAAGCTGCCCCTCTCCGGCCCCCCGCTTCCGAAAACCCAAGGCGCTGGCAGCATGAAGCTGACCAAGGCGACGAAGCCCAAGTACGCGGCCACCGGGGCCAGCAGCCGGCAGTCCAGGAGCTCCCGCACCTCGCGGATTTCTCGGTCTCGGTTTCTCGGTTGCGGTGTCGAGTCAGCGAGTCAGCGAGTCAAAAGACGAGTAGCTCGCTGACTCGCGCAAGAGCAACTGAGCAAAAGCAGGCATGACGTCTACATGTAAAAATGTTCATATATATATATATATATGTAATGTGTGTGTGTACAAATGTGTGCATACACAAATGCATTCTTTGTATATGTATCTACACATGCATCCAAAACTGAGCTAGTAACATATATTGATTGTATGACGCGGCAGCCATGCCCTGTAATTACAATCGTGCTAACATTCCTGCATGTCATTCACGACAAGATGCCTGCAGCCTCAGAAGCTGAGCTCCAAACCATGGGGATCGCATCCATCGAGTAGTCGTAGCCTAGAAACATCACACAAATCAGGGCGCTGGCGCTGTTGCTCAGGAGAAGTCCCACATCGTGCTTTAGCATGCGACTTGCATCACAGCCTGAACCGTGAGAAAGCTTGGAACATCCACTTTTTCAATGGCGAAAAGTGTAGGTCACATGCTGTTGGCCCAGCGAAAATGAAAAGGGTAGGAAAAATAGTTTTTACTTGGGGAGTGCATTTAATTGTGTAGGCTTGGTTGACCGAAGCCCGGCTAACGATGGCCCAAGGAAACAAAACTAGGACAAAGCAAGTCAAAACAATGCCGTGGGGGAAATGAGCCCACAGTGAAACATGCAAACCAATACTAAATCAACTCTAGCGGACGACAAGGAAGGTCAACTTCTGGAATGGGCTCCTGTTTTGCTGTGGACCTGTTTCGGGAACAACCCCTGCATTTGAAGCGTCATCCAAGCGACCCCCGGATTTTAGCCCAAAGCATCCTTTGGCCCATTCTGCACCAGGCATAACATTAAAGAAACGGCCGGAGCTGCGCCGACTGCTAAGGCACAAAGGGGCACATCTTTCTTGAGAACGACATGTGCTTGGCAGGCTATTTTGAAGTAGTGGAATTGCTCTCAGGGAATTTGATTTTTCCGCAATTGTTCACTACAACCCTGTGTATACTAAACAGTGACCCACATTAAAGGCTCAAATCCTGACCGCCTGCAGGGTGACAAAGCCATGCATTCAAGCACGGCTCCTAACTCTCGCATGCCCCAACAACCATTTACTGCAGCTGAGGGCAGCACACAAGAATTGCGGCCACACCAACAGCCGCATGTACACGCCATGGAGGAATGCATAGGAGAGAATCCGAACCTGACAAGGCACTCACTGAATCTAAATCTGTAGCTAAATCTGTAGCTCTTGTACTCCAACGGCCGAGCAATATGTGCATCCATATAAACAAATTGAGACACATGTATGTGTGCGAGAGGGGGAACAGTCCCACAGGAAGCTGCCTGCGTGGATTGAGGTGTGCCTTTTTTGGACGAGCCCCGATTTTTGCAACCCAAACTGATCCAAAGTCAACCCTAAACCCACCCAACAGCAGCCAATAAGCTGCCCCAGGTTCGAGCGAGATGCCGGATGCGGCCAGCCAGTCAGCCGCCAACCAGCCAAAAACCAGTGGTTCCGGCCGCGTGAAGCCGTGAAGCGCTGCCAGCCTTGCGGTCGGACTCGAAGCTGATGGGATTGTCCTGCGGAGACCTTCGAAGCCGACGCAACAACCCCTTCATTGGCAAAACTGCCGCCGTCTCTTTTCAATGTGCTCGCACCCCCAGCACCCAAGGCAGCATACTACATACATACATACATGCATGCATGCATGCATACAGACAGACAGACAGACAGACAGACATTACATACATACATGCATACAGACAGACAGACAGACAGACAGACAGACATACATTACATACATACATACATACAGACATACATACATACAGACAGACATACATACAGACAGACAGACAGACATATAGACATACATACATACATACATACATACATAAATTACATTACATAAATACATACAGACAGACAGACAGACAGACAGACAGACAGACATTACAGACAGACAGACAGACAGACAGACAGACAGACAGACAAACAGACAGACAAACAGACATTACATACATACATACATACATACATACATTACATTACATTACATTACATTACATTACATTACATTACATTACATTACATTACATACATACATACATACATAGATACATACATACATACATTACATTACATTACACTACATTACATTACATTACATACATTACATTACATACATTACATTACATACATACATACATTACATACATACCTACATTACATTACATTACATTACAATACATTACATTACATTACATTACATTACATACATTACATACATACATACATACACTACATACATACATACATACATACATTACATACATTACATTACATTTACATTACATACATACATTACATACATTACATTACATTACATTACATTACATTACATTACATTACATTACAGTAAATACATACATACATACATACATACATACATACATACATACATACATACATACATACATACATACATACATACATACATACATACATACATACATTACATACATACATACATACATACATACATACATACATACATACATACATACATACATACATACATACATACATACATACATACATACATACATACATACATACATACATACATACATACATACATACATACATACATACATACATACATACATACATACATACATACATACATACATACATACATACATACATACATACATACATACATACATACATACATACATACATACATACATACATACATACATACATACATACATACATACATACATACATACATACATACATACATACATACATACATACATACATACATACATACATACATACATACATACATACATACATACATACATACATACATACATACATACATACATACATACATACATACATACATACATACATACATACATACATTACATACATACATACATACATACATACATACATACATACATACATACATACATACATACATACATACATACATACATACATACATACATACATACATACATACATACATACATACATACATACATACATACATACATACATACATACATACATACATACATACATACATACATACATACATACATACATACATACATACATACATACATACATACATACATACATACATACATACATACATACATACATACATACATACATACATACATACATACATACATTACATACATACATACATACATACATACATTACATTACATACATACATTACATACATACATTACATTACATATACATACATACATACATACATACATACATACATACATACATACATACATACATACATACATACATACATACATACATACATACATACATACATACATACATACATACATACATACATACATACATACATACATACATACATACATACATACATACATACATACATACATACATACATACATACATACATACATACATACATACATACATACATACATACATACATACATACATACATACATACATACATACATACATTACATACATACATACATACATACATACATACATACATACATACATACATACATACATACATACATACATACATACATACATACATACATACATACATACATACATACATACATACATACATACATACATACATACATACATACATACATACATACATACATACATACATACATACATACATACATACATACATACATACATACATACATACATACATACATACATACATACATACATACATACATACATACATTACATACATACATACATACATTACATTACATACATACATACATACATACATACATACATTACATGCACATACATACATTACATACATACATACATACATACATACATACATACATACATACATACATACATACATACATACATACATACATACATACATACATACACATACATTACACATTACATTACATACATACATACATACATACATACATACATACATACATACATACATACATACATACATACATACATACATACATACATACATACATACATACATACATACATACATACATACATACATACATACATACATACATACATACATACATACATACATACATACATACATACATACATACATACATACATACATACATACATACATACATACATACATACATACATACATACATACATACATACATACATACATACATACATACATTACATATACATACATACATACATACATACATACATACACATACATTACATACATACATACATACATACATACATACATACATACATACATACATACATACATACATACATACATACATACATACATACATACATACATACATACATACATACATACATACATACATACATACATACATACATACATACACATTACATACATACATACATTACATACATACATACATTACATACATTACATACATACATACATACATACATACATACATACATACATACATACATACATACATACATACATACATACATACATACATACATACATACATACATACATACATACATACATACATACATACATACATACATACATTACATACATACATACATTACATACATACATACATACATACATACATACATACATTACATGCATACATACACATACATACATACATACATACATAACATACATTACGTTACATTACCTTACATTACCTTACATTACCTTACATTACATTGCATTACTTGCTGTTACATACATACATACATACATACATACATACATACATACATACATACATTACATGCATGCATACATACATACATACATACATTACATACATAAATGCGTACATACATACATACATTACATACATACATACATACATACATAAATACATACATTACATACATACATTAATTACAGTACATTACATTACATTGCATTACAGTACAGTACAACACAATACATTACATACATACATACATACATCACATACATACATAAATACATGCATGCATGCATGCATACATTACATTACATTAAATTACATTAAATTACATTACATTACATTACATTACATTACATTACATTACATTACATTACATTACACACATGCATAAATTACATTACATTACATTACATTACATTACATACATACATTACATACATACATACTTTACATTCATTACATTGCATTGCATTGCATTGCATTGTATTCAATACAGTACTTTCATTCATCCATTCATTGTCATTAATTCATACATGCATGCATACATACATAGATAGATGCATTCATACATGCATACACTACATTACATCACATCACATCACATCACATTGCATGCATACACATGTACATGCATTACATTACATTGCATTGCATTAAATTACAAAACATTTCATTACATACAGACAAACAATACAATACAATACAACACAACACAACACAATACATAAACAAACACACATACATTTATACATACATACGTACGTACATACATTACATTGCATTGCATTACATTACATTACATTTCGTTTCACTACATTACATGCATTACATACATACATTCCATTTCATTCCATTCCATTCCATTCCATTCCAGTCCACTCCATTCCATTCCATTCCATTCCATTCCATTATATATATATATATATGGCCATGGGTCAAAATCCCGCACCCCCAGTGAACATCCCTATCCCCACTAAAATAGACTAAAATGGGTGGTGCACCTTCCCCAAAATGGTACTATTGGTTTTGACTCGCAGCCATATATTCCCCTATAACAGTTCATGACAACCATAGCACGACATGGCACTCCATGTCAGCAGGGGCACACCAGGGCGCTGGCATGTTCAGCGAAGTGCCTCCTGTGTGGCGGTATCTGGCCACAAAGACCAGGACTGTGCCTGGGAGAGCCGGGGGAACGGCACAGGCCGCACATGAGTGGTGTTGTGTTGTGTATTCCCTTCAGATGTAAATGGACGCCTAAGCCCTTCCACGAGACCTTCCTTCCGCGGTGCGAAGGGTGCCTTGAGCAAGGCATGTGTCTACATAGTTCTGCTCATCCGCAAACTGCCGCAGCACCAGTCTTTGCTACATTCCTGACATGTTGCTTCCGCGAACTATTTTGCTGGCCCAGCTGAATCTAGCGTGCCCGTTGGCAGAGCTCCCAAACCAAGTGTTACCCTTCCGCAAACCTTCCGCCAAAACGTGTGGGGTTTTGTTCGCGTCCGAAAACATTGAATGGGAAACATGCTGACTAATACAAAAAGTACGTTCAATTACCATTTGCACGCCCCGCAACTTTCATTCACAAAACCGTTCCGCGAGCTTCCGCGGACAAGAACCCTTCCGCAAACCTTCCGCGGCGTCAGTGTCGTGCTACTTGTGCTTGTTTGTATGTCCAACTCTTGACTTTCAGCGCGAGTTGGGAACAAATCGGCACTCACATGCCACGGTCTCACACGTTGCTCTGGCTGTAGGCGGGGCTTGGTATGGAAATGACAAGATGGCAGGTGCCCCTCGGCGCGAGATGCAGCACGGGCTCCAAGCGCAGTCGCCGATAGAAGCTGGCAATGGCGACTGCGCTTCCTAGCTGCGCATTCAGAGGGACCAGCGTTAGGTCAAAACCTCCGCGACCTGGAAGTGTTGCGGGCCATGGGTCAAAACCCAAATCATACCCCCAGTGACATCCCAGTGACATACCACTAAAATAGGAAGCCTAAAATGGGTGGTGAATTCGCCTACCGACCAAAATGGGATCCCAAAACGGTTTTGAGCCATGCCAGTGGAGCCCTTGGAGCTTGCCAACGCTGAGCCCGTGGCTGGCAACCAGAAGCCCAGCCCGGAGCCTGGCCCAAAGAAGCCGAAAGAAAGGGACCTTCGTTCGCGCGAGGCTTGCCAGCTTTCTGGTCGAAAGGTCAGAGAGAAAGAGTGAAAAAAAAGAGGAGAAAAAGAGAGAATAAAAAAAAAGAAGAAAAAATGATAAAGACATTTAAATTGTGCTGAGGTCGCAAACCACCAAGCGCCAGTTCGAACATTGGCGCTGATGGTGGACCTCCTTCGATGCCAGGGTGTAATATTGTAGAAAGTGCTTTCCCTGTAAGCAGAAATCTGCGACTGACTTGTGGTCTGGAACTATAGAACATGTACCCCCGAGCCCATTCAGGGCTCAGAGTTATCACCTCTCCCCTGCGGTTTCGCCTAGACCCTTTCCGACTCGACCTCAGATCTGGGGATCGCTGCTCTGAAAGCTGGCCATGGCCCCAAGCCCAGGACCAGCCCTTCGGGTTCTATCGGGTTTCCTCCCCCGGCGCTTCGCTCAAAGGCTTGGACCTTACAGGCGCTGAATCAGAAATGCGGGCTGGCAACAAGAAGATTGGATGGAGCAGTGGCGCTAAAATTTCACTGATTTTAGTACAGCCCAGCTCAGGCCGATGCCCAGATCCGACTAAACGAGCTCAAGTTTTCACTGATGGAGCTGTTTGGCAGGGGAGGGGCGGGGATCATGTTAAGGAGCATCCCACGTCGGATGTTTCAAATTGCCCCGCAAAACTTAACCTGGGAGTGTGAACAATGCAGCGTCGACCTGTGAAAGCCTCATGCATCCAGCCTCAAGCGGCGGACAACTCCTTGGAACAGCGTCCGTAGCAACTCTCAAGTAGCCGTGAACAAACTGAGGCATCAATTGCTCACTAACACTATGTTTGAGCCTTGCTTTGGCAATTTACAATCCCACAGGCAGAATCAGCATCGTCATGGCTTTCTTTGACTTACAATGCTGTATAGTGCGTATCTATCAGTTAGCACTTTTTAGCAGGCGGCACAGTTAGCACATCCCTGGGTTGGCCGGAATGCCCCCGTCAGCCCCGAACAGTTAGCACACACCTGCCACACCCCGAAACCGAAAGGGGCGACCAACAGTTAGCACATGCCTCCCTGGTTGTGGGCAGAGATACGCTTTCTGAAACGAGCAACTTTCGCAATGCAGTACAAGTGTAGTAAAGGAAGTACACTTGGCAGATCCGTCTCAAAAGTCGCAACTTTTCAGTACAAGTGTAGTAAAGGAAGTACACTTGGCAGATCCGTCTCAAAAGTCACAACTTTTCAGTACAAGTGTAGTAAAGGAAGTACACTTTGGCAGCTCCGGCTCGAAAGCCGCAACTTTTCAGCACAACTGTAGTACAGGAAGTACGCATTGGCAGCTCCAGCCCGGACGTCTCAACTTTTCAGTGCAAGTGTAGTATACAGGAAGTACGCATTGGCAGCTCCTGCCCGGAAGTCTCAAGTTTTCACTGCAAGGAAGTATGCCTTGGCAGCTCCGGCTCGAAAGTCGCAACTTTTCAGTACAAATGCAGTAAAGGAAGTAGATTTGGCAGATCCAGCTCGAAAGTCGCAACTTTTCAGTACAAGCGTAGTAAAGGAAGTACATTTTGGCGGCTCCGGCTCGAAAATCGCAACTTTGTGTAGCAAAGGAAGTAGATTTGGCAGATCCGGGTCGAAAGTCCAGTACAAGCGTAGTAAAGAAAGTACACTTCGGCAGCTCCAGCTTGAAAGTCGCAACTTTTCAGCACACGTGTAGTATAGTGCGTATCAATCAGATAGCACTTTTTTCCTAGGCAGATAGCAAATTGCTGTGTTGGCCGGAATGCCCCGTCAACCCTGAACAGTTAGCACACACCTGCCACACCCTGAAACCCAAAACAGCGCTCAACAGTTAGCACATGGGGCTCTCTGGCTTTGGGCAGGCGAACAGAACATCAAAGGGCTACATACGCTTCTCGAATGTTCATGGAAGCACACGTGTCAAATCTTCACTAAGCGTAGAAACTTGCAGAACCCAGTGAGCCTATGATGGAGGAAGGGTGTGCGGTGGACTGGCTTACATGGAGCTTGCGTGGATGGGTGATGCTTTACTTGGCCCTAGTACTTTGTTGAACGTAATTATTGTGTTACAGTGTTTTCGAACTTTGGCAGCTCCGGCTCGAAAATCGCAACTTTGTAGCACAAGTCTAGCTACGCGAAGTACACTTCCGCAGCTCCAGATCGAAAATCCCAACTTTGTAGCACACAAGTCTAGCACGCGAAGTGCACTTCCGCAGCTCCAGCTCGAAAATCGTAGTGCAAGTCTAGTGCGCGAAGCCCACTTCCGCAGCTCCTGCTCGAAAATCGCAACTTTGTGGTACAAGTCTGTGCGCGGAGTACACTTCCGCAGCTCCAGCTCAAAAATCGCAACTTTGCAGTACAAGTCTAGTACGCGAAGCACACTTCCGCAGCCAAGTCTAGTGCGCGAAGCACACTTCCGCAGCTCCTGCTCGAAAATCGCAACTTCGTAGTACAAGTCTAGTACGCGAAGTGCACTTCCGCAGCTCCAGCGCAAAAATCGCAACTTTGTAGCACAAGCCGAGCACGCGCGAAGAAGACAAGTCGTGACTCGCCTTAGCGTTTTACGGCGGCCACGCAAGGGTCCCACCCCAACTAAGCTGCAACTGCAGGGGTTATTGTAGAGCCACGTGTTAACTTACGGTTATCGTTTTTGGGGGAGACCTTATCGTTGTCCGTGGCTTTTTGGAGTCGTAGGCCAAAGAGTACCCCCTTTATCAAAGTGGTCTAGACGCGTTTTGTCCGTGGCTCTTTTGTGTCCCACGACTTGTCAGGGTGAAAGACAAGAGTTTGCCAACATACAAATGGATTGCCAGGTGCCAAATTCTAGCGCGTTGACGTGTGGAAATCCAGCAATGCAGCTCCGGCTCGCAAGTCGCAACTTTTCAGTACAAGTGCAGTAAAGGAAATACACTTTGGCAGCTCCGGCTCGAAAGTCGCAACTTTTCAGTACAAAGAAACTTTGGCAGCTCCGGCTCGAAGGTCGCAACTTGTCAGTACAAGTGCAGTAACGGAAATACACCTTGGCAGCTCTGGCTCGAAAGTCGCAACTTTTCAGTACAAGGAGATACACTTTGGCAGCTCCGGATCGAAGGTCGCAACTTGTCAGTGCAAGTGTAGTAAAGGAAGTACACTTTGGCAGCTCCGCTTCGAAAGTCACAACTTTTCAGCACATGTGTAGTGCACTTTGGTACTCCGGCACAAAAGTCGCAACTTTTCAGTACAAGTGTAGTAAGGAAATACACTTTGGCAGCTCCAGCTCAATGGTCGCAACTTGTCAGTACAAGTGTAATAGACAAAGTACACTTTGGCAGGCAAACGTACAAACGCTCGGGCTCCCGCTTGGGGCAACACGGATGCCACGCAACAGGCGTCAGCAAATGGAAGAGCAACCGCGTTTGAGTTTCTGCTCGGGCCGAGCACGGGTGCCACGCAAGGGCACAAGCAAAGGCAAGCGAAGCCACGCTCGGAATCCCGCTCGGATCCCGCTCGGGCCGAACGCGGATGCCACGCAAAGGCCTCAGATCCTCTTGCGGAAGCCATACAGTTAGCACACGCCAGACCCTCTTGCACCTCGCTTGGCCGTGTCAGCCAGCCAGGATGCAACCGCGCTTCTCCTACAGTATTTGCCGTTTCCTGCAACGGCAGCCCAACTGTCTTGATAATTGAATTTGGCTTTGGGATTCACACACAACGGGCCCCTAAAAGCCTGGCAACTCCACCCCTGAAAGCCTGGCAACTCCAACCCTAAAGCAATGCCTCCTGCGACTTGAAAGGGCGCCCGTAGAATAACACGACACTATCAAGAAGCTTGCATTGTCCGAGTGTTGCGTCCAAACGCAAACACATTATCGTAGCAAAACCGTTGGGCCACCAAGTTTCGAAGTGAAGCTGACTTGGGCACCGTGTACAAGCTTTACCCGGAAGACAAAGACAAGTTCATGATCATGAAGAAACACCGTGCCCTGGTTTTACTCTTCAAAGCCCACAAGTTTTGCCGGGGCCGCGCCCGCAAACAGGCTTGGGATCACGCTCGGGCCGAGCACAGACGCCGCGCAAAGGCGCTGGTATAAGGACCAAAGCAAAGCAGACACGCTCGCGATCCCGCTCGGGCCAAACACGTGCGCCGTGCCAAGGTGCAGGTAAGGACCAACGCAGCCACGCTCGGGAGTCCACTCAGGCCAACTATGGATGCAGCGCGCAGGCGTAGCCCGCTCGGGATCCCGCTCGGCCCGAGCACGGGTGCCACGCAACGGCAAGAGCAAAGGCAAGCGAAGCCAATCCCGCTCGGGGCGAACGCGGATGCCACGCAAAGGTGTCACTTGCGGAAGCCATACAGTTAGCACACGCCAGATTCTCTTGCGCCTCGTTTGGCCGTGTCAGCCAGGACTCTTCGCATTACGCTTGCCAACGCGCTTCTCCTACAGTACTTGCCGTTTCCTGCAAGGGCAGCCCAGCTGTCTTGATAATTGAATTCGGCTTTCAGAAACAAAAAGAACGGGCAGCCTTAACTCCACCCCTAAAAGTCTGACAACTCCACCCCTAAAGCCATGCTTCCTGCGACTTGAAAGGGCGCCCGTAGCAACAAAACACGACATTATCAAGAAGCTTGCATTGTCCGAGTGTTGCACCATTCGCATCCAAATGCAAATGCATTATCGTAGCGGAACAGTTGGGCCATCAAGTCCCGAACTCAAGCTGGGCTAGGACACTGTGTAAAAGCCTTACCAGCAAGAAAACGACAAGTCCATAATCCTGAAGAAACACCGTGCTCTGGTTTCACTCTTGAAAGCCCACAAATACGCTCGAAGTTTTGCCGGGGCCGCGCCCGCAAACAGGCTTGAGACCCCGCCCGGGCCGAGCACAGACGCCGCGCAAGGCGCTGGTAACGCGCAGGCGGCTGAAAGGACCAAAACGGCCAGGCTCGCTAGCCCGCTCGGGATCCCGCTCGGGCCGAGCACGGATGCCACGCGAAGCACCGCTCGGGATTTCCGGGGCGAGCGCGGATGCCGCCTCAGACCCTCTTGCGGAAGCCATACAGTTAGCGCACGCCAGACCCTCTGGCGCCTCAATTGGCCGTGTCAGCCAGGGCTCTTTGCATCACGCCTGCCAACCCGCTTCTCTACTGCAATAGCTGTCTTGACAATTGAATTTGGCTTTGGGATTCACAAACAACGGGCCCCTATAAAAGCCTGGCAACTCCACCCCTGAAGCAATGCTTCTTGCGACTTGAAAGGACGCCCGTAGCACACATCAACGACATCATCAAGAAGTTTGCGTTGTCCGAGAGTTGCATCATGTTGCACCCAAACGCAAACGCATTATCGCAGCGGACAGTTTCCATAATCCTGAAGAAGCACCGTCCTCTGATTTTACTCTTCAAAGCCCACAAATACGCTCGAAGTTTTGCCGGGGCCGCGCCTGCAAACAGGCTTGGGATCCCGCTCGGGCCGAGCACAGATGCCGCACAAAGGCGCTGGTAAGCACCAAAGCAGACACGCTCGGGATCCCGCTCGGGCCAAACCCGTGCCAAGGCGCAGATAAGGACCAACACCGTCACGCTCGGGAGTCCACTCGGGCCAGCTATGGATGCAACGCGCAGGCGCCTGCAAGGACCAAAGCGGCCAGGCTCGCCTGCCCGCTCGGGATCCCGCTCGGGCCGAGCACGGGTGCCACGCAAGGAAAAAGCAAAGGCCAGCGAAGCCACGCTCGGGATCCCGCTCGGGATCCCGCTCGGGGCTGCCACGCA